GCTAACTGCACCAACTGTCTTGGTATCATGCCATCTGTTGAAAGTGATTCCATCTGGCGTACATAGAAATTCTGCTTCATGTCGCTCTAATTTCGTGTCTATCTTTGGTATATTTTTTCGTGAAGTAATGCATGTTCCTACTATTGTAAATTGTGATGTTTGTAATAATAATATTGACGTGAAAAAACGATCGCAACATATAACGACGTCGTTGTCTCTTATAGAGGATGTTATTTTTTCTATAACCCTTTCTCCTAGTGTCCCATCTACTAATGCTGTCTCATTTTCACTATAAATAATCACATCGTAGACATATCCTGTGAGGGAATCGCTCTTGACCCCTAATTTTATATCACGTTTTATCGGTTTGAGAGGCATGTACTGTTTTAAGCTTGATCTTCATTTGAATTTAGCCATACTCTCATCGATTTATTGATAAGTGAAATCCGATCTAGCCTTTGGAAATGTGTATTTGAAGCATTCTAACATCGGCTCGATATAATAAATTTTATTAGAATTGTTAGGTTTATTCGGATTTAATTTGGATATCAAGAATTTGAACCGATCTCTTGATATTGCTGTCTTTATTGCAGTATTACCCATTGACGGGTGCTTCGACCAGTAATAACACATATGAGGCAAAACGTTGTAAGGCATAACAAGCATGACCCCAGATAACACCATTATTTCAGAATAGTCAGTTGCTTTATATTTTTTCCTTTGTTTTTTCTCCAACATATCTATTCTCTCATTAGTGCATTGCGCTATGAACATATATAAATTTTTAGAAATATATCCAATTCAGATGACTGCTGATTTATATCAGATAAAAGGATACTACAATCTTTTTTAAAAGGGAACTTCATTCTTGGTTTATACGTAGGCAATACTGGAGACCATACCTTTGCTGGATTTGGTAAATTTTCTGAAGGGGAAACTAAGTCTCCTTCCTCTATTTTCGAATCTGAGCCTGTTTCCGAAAGTAATCCCGTTTCTCTATTTCATTTTCAGCGTTAATTAGACTGTCATTATCAGTGTTACTCTCTGTATCAGTACAGTCAGGATCGTCATCACTACTGCAATGAAAGGGCTCTGATTCATTTTCTCATAAGTAAATATTTATTCATTCTGAAACAATGAAAACTAATTGAGAATGCGCAAGCTCTAGCAGCAGACCAAAATTGAAAACAGAACAAAATATTACTTCATAGTGTTCCTTCAGTCGAAATATCAATTAAAAATTTTGAGAAAAATATCAAAAACCCACCTTTTTACCCCGCAAGAAGATGTTTGATCAAAAGTAGCAAATAACAAATGTACTCCACTAATTTTCCTATATAAGAATCCGAAATCACAATTAAAATATAATTCGAAAAAATATTGGACGTACAAACCTGTAAACCGATATAATACTATTGGGATGTATAATCCCACAAGCGGGTACTACTGGGATATATTATCCCAGATATTTAAATCTCATCCGCATAAATTGTACACGGCATTGTAATAAATATAATACTTTTACAACACTTACCTGCATAAATTTCTTCAAAATCGATGTAAAAACTAGTTGGAAACCGTATAAAAACAGTGGAATGCACCCGCACGTGTTATAAAAGAAAACTAAAAGTTAGGTTAGGTGTTTTCTGGCGGTAAGAATGTTGACGTCACATGAATGCATTAAAATGACGGATGGCGACAAGATACGCCTAATTTTGGGAAGATATAACCCAGCTGTACATTTGAAAAAGTGTTTGGGATATATAATCTAGTAATATTTTGACACAAAAATAACGAAAATAACTTTTAGGAAGTTAATGGCGTTTTTTGACATAACTGACACCGTGTGCTTTGAAATAGCGACCACTTCCAACGGCAGATGCCTACGATTTCAATTTGGTTAATATTTTAGGCCATTTAAAATTACAACCTAAAGTAGTACCGACATGTTAATTGAAATATTTGGTAACTTATGAGGTAATTGTTTCTACTGCCAGCTCTCAAAATAATATTTACAAGTACTTACCTAAATCCAAATAATTAAGTAGGTATTTACTTACACGGTTTCTTCAAAACTAATGTAGTACAATAAAATATTCGAAGAAAATAAATTTTAATAAAGACACTCACCAACTAATGAAATGTAAAAATTATTTAGCTAACAGACTTCAAATGTAAGTAACCCAATGAATATTACCTACATTTTTATGCAGTACATATAAGTTATATTAATTAGTACAATATTATTTTATTCATATCTGCCACTTGGCTTTGGAATATGGTTACATTCTAAGTTCTTTAGACTTTAGTACTCAAATGTCTATAAACACTACTTGTTATACTCTGTCAAGTTACCAAAACATTTTGGGATCTACCTTAGGAAAGGTCCTTTTTTGAGTACCTATATTATAGTTAAGAGTATACATTCTGAAAATTCTTTGGAGTTTAAACAATGAAATTAAATTTTAAGAATAACCATTGAACTTAGTGTATCTCAAGAAATAGTTACAGTTCAAATGTGTACATCAACCATTTTTTTTAAATAATATAAAAATAATGAAGAACCAATATTACCTAATAAATTTTAATGAGTTAAAATAGTACCTACATAAAGAAGATTATATAAGTAGTATTTCAATTAATTGACATTAACAAAATACCTATTATTAGTGATATTATTAGTCTAAAATGGAAAACCACGAACTTGGTAACTAATTAGTGCTGTATGTGAGAAATTTACTAAATTTTTGAAAAAATGGCTTTTAAAATATAAACAGATCTAATCTCAAATTAAGAAATCCTGAATGCAAGATTCAGAAAATTGTATATCTGGCTAAAAAACTACTATTAATGTTGTTGTTATATTTTAAATTTATTTTTTTTTTTGTCTTTAAAATTTTTATATCTTGAAGTTGTTATAATGGGGTAAAACAGATTAAAAATAACATGCCAGAACACTAAAAAAAATTGTAGGTATATTGTTTTATTAGTAATAAAAGTAATACTTTCAAATCAATGAGATGATATAATGCAAATAAAATTTAAAAAATTGCTTTCAACTGGAATAGCAGTTCAGTAATACAAACTCGAACACAGAACCAGGTACGTCTATATTGAAAGCTCATGGTCAGATTTCTTGGTTTGTTTGATTGTCTTGTGGTCGTAGACAAATGTACCTCACTTATGCGAAAGTGATTTTTCAGACTCATGTGAAAAGGCACTACTAATTTTGTTTTGAACTATTTCTAAGGAAACATCTAACTTTAATGGAAAGTTATGAGTAACTACTTTGAATTCAGAAACATGATTTTTGTTTACTAAAAACGTTTACTTTTTGAAAACAATTTTTTTTCTAAACAAATCTATACAGGGCTATTATACGAAAACAAGGATATTTTGAAGCCTTAGATTGTGTATGTACCAATATGTAATTGTGGAATATCAGTTGTCTAAAATATTTTCGGCCTCTTCACAATAATTAGTAAAATACTATGTGTATATGTAATGATAGTCAAAAGTGTGCAATAGATTTATTTGGTAAATTAAATTTATTTTAATTTGAGTAAATGTACTAACATCCATTTTATCTGTCAGATGACATTCCTAGGGTCAACGACAAAAACACTACTGATTATTGTAAAAAGAATTGTCTAACAAGATTTTACAATTGTTATTTACTGTCTCTGTAAATAGTTTATTCAATGCCATCCTTCTTCCTTTCATAGACACACATCAGTTTGAAAGGTGGGTAAAAATAATATTAATTTATGTTTAAAAGCTAGGTTCATAATGAATTGGAATTCTAATTTTCAGGGCAAACAAAATTATCGCTGTCATGTCTTATATGATTTTTGTATATGAAATAATAGTATATTATGACATTAATGCATAATCGAGCCTTTAAAGCATGAGCAACGAGTTTAAGGCCACGACGCGCAGCGGAGTGGGTAGGTAAATGTCATTTGACGTTTAATTATTAAAATAATTTTTCTCTTCATGTTACTTGTTTTTATGTAAAGTTGTCAACAATTTAATTAATTTGAAAATTCAAAATAAAATGTGACATTATCTAATCATATTTATTAAAGCGGTTACGTAGCAACCTTTATACGCCCGGCGTGCGATAAAGACTCGGTAATGCACGCTCTTGGGTTTTTTGCATGGTTTATGATACCTGAATACTAAAAATTATTTTAACCACTTTACTCAAGATAGTGATTGGTGCAGGTGCCGTTTGGTAAAGCACACACTCCAAGACATACTACAAACCCCATGGTGCCCACGCCGCCTCCCACTATTTCGAAAACCGAAAAGAAAAATGGCGCAACCAAATCTAAGACTTCCCCTAACTGCTGAACTCAGGGATCTGCTGAACTCAGCCCCCCTAAGCATCAGATAAAACCCTTCCCAATCATATAATTAGAAGTCATATTTGTACAGTATCGCAATTTAGGTTGCTTACTGTAATCAGGGCAAACCACCCTGAAAAGGAGAATAACTATAGCAGGGTATTAGGAAAATAATATGTCCTAGAAAACGTAAACAAAATTTATAAAAAAAAAAAAAAGCCGGCACAGTTGTTATCAAACGGTCTCAGTTTTAGGTTGTCTTTAACATATCTTCATGTAACATAAAAATGAAAAATTTCATTTAAGTAAAAAATATAAAAAGTTGTACATTTTAAGGGTAATCTGTATCAAATAATGTATATAAAACTATCATTGGAAAAATGTTGTGTTTTAAATTTATGGAAGCTATAAATAAGCTAGTCGTTTTAGCAGTATCTAGGTAGACACATAAATCGGGCCATTTTCACCTAGAAGGACGACAAGTACCAAAGGTAAGGTGTTATCGCCCCACAAGTTATGCGAATTATGTAAGATTTTAGTACGGAACTAAAAAACATAAAGTTTATGGAAGGCCTCGTATTGTATCGTTTCTCATACAACATTAGATGTTTGCCCCACTAGCTGCCGACATTATTGGTAGTAAAGATATCTATGTTTCTTAAAGAAGCTTTTTACGGGACGATTTTTGTGAGATTTGAACTGTACAGTCCATCGATTCAGCTCAAAACTCAAAGTAAAGTGTTCGATCTGCCTTTAGATCAAAACTGTGCATTTTGGCCTGCAGGCCATATTGTGTCAATGCCGTGGAAGGATATCACATTATCAACGACAATAGGTGTGAAGGCTACGAGGGAGGCCGATACGAAAATTACTTTCTTCCTAAAAAATATAAGACATTCTGGCGATAATGTAATACGGTGCTCCGACACTGAAATTTTGATGATACTTTTGGGAAATTTGGCCCACATTCCACAATTAGGCAGCCAGCTGTATGTCAACGTTACCTCTGTATATGAAGTACACTTTCTGCGCGGATTTGCTAGCGTTTCACGAATTCACTGGTTGTGAATTCAACCCTGTATTTTATCGAATAGGAAAAAGAAGCGGTGGAGGATTTTTCAGGAGAATTAATATTACCAGAACGATTTTGCTTGTATCCAAATTACAACATGATTGACAGCAGCGAATCATTTTAACAAGATCTTATAACCGCGAATTTGTGTAACAAAAAAAATATAGTAAAATAATATCTAAATCTGAATGCTAGACCGATTACGGTTACGAAGATGAATTTATTTTAGGGCTCGCGGCTAGACTCTAGTGGAGATGGGGTGGTTCAATCTCAATTATTAAAAAAAGGGGGGGCGCCAGTTAAATTGTCCCGAGCACCTGACTGTCTAAGTATTGACCCTCAATTTAACAAAAGACCAATAATATAAACCGGTATCTTAATGTACCCAACCTAGACACAAAAAGAGTAATAAAATACAAAATGATTATTTACGGATTTATTTTCAAGTTAGAAATCAACAGTATGATAAGAAGTTTCCCCAAGAGAAAAAAAAATACTTTGCTATAAAATAAGTAAAATAACTAAGTAAAATAATTAATCTTTTTTTTTGCAATATTAATTATTTCCAAAATGTATTTTTTTTAGGTTGACGAAATATTATAAACATTATATAAAATGATCAGATATTAAAAATATTATATAACTTGACGAAATATTATAAATATTATAGTATTGACCAAATTTTATATTGTAAAAATTGAGGATGTGTTATAAATATTTAATTATTGCCCAAATATTATAACCATATAAATTAACCAAATAAGTTTTTATAAATAAATGTTATGCGGCTTACTAAGGGAAATTTTTTGTATCAAAAATAGTAAAGGAGTGAATAAAATAAATGGCAAAAAAATCGAAATGTTAATTCGGCGTCGCTTGAGCTCAGGCGCATGCGCTGAGGATTTCTGTAATATCCTCAAATATCAAATAATATAGGTAGGAAAAGCCCAAATCCTTAGCATTCCGCTCACAAAAATAATTCTAACGTTAATTATAAATCCCCACAAGAAAAAAAGAAATAATAGAGCCAACAGGTAAAACACAATCCCAAAATCGAAAAATAACTTCCAAAACTAAACCCACTATCGGATGACTTAAATATCACTATATTTTTGAAAGTTAGCAAATCACACCCATTTCATGCGAAGTCTACTCAGTAACAACTGAATTTTTCTGTTCTCGTTAGCTACTATGCAAAAACGGAATTTTAACTTGATAAAGACACAATTGCCTGTTTTTAACGAAATTGTTAAACCCAAAAAAAAATATTCCTAGAACAAGTATTTGGCACTATCGCAGGTAAAGCTTCAAGCTTTTCGCAAAAAAATCGAAATTTAAATCTTACACACAAATTAAACTAAATTATAGACTAGAGGTGGGACACAATTTTTGGACCGTTACAATCTATTGAATTTCGATGCATGCTTTTTACTGCAGCAACATTTAATATTTTTAAAACTACTAAAAAAAACATTTACGCTCGATTGTAAATGTATGTCTACTTGATATTACCAATCAGCATATTATATAAAAAATCACAAATACGTGTTGTCCGTAGAGCCAGAACTAATCCATCGAATTTCACTAATATGACAACATTTAACTTTTCTCTGTCGAGTTAAGTCGGAAAATTTAAAATTTTTCTTCGGGCAAATAGTTTTCCATCAATTTTCCGGCTAGGCCATTTTTTTTGACAGCGGATTTATGTTTCGATGAATTTCCTTTCGTTTACTGAATTTTCCCACTTTCACGACGTTTTTTCAAAAAAAAAAACAAAAAAATGCACGTGTACTATGCGACGTTCCTAACAATCTGGCATCAACATTTTCCCGCTCAAATTAGGAAAATTAAGGGAAATTTTGGTTCGAACTATTTTTCTGGAAAAACATTGCTGAAAAAAAGGAGATAGAACAAAATATCCTAAAAAGAACTATCCGACTTGACGAGACGCGTCGATTGATGTATAACATGACATAATTTTTATGACAGAGGGAGGGAAAATATTAAAAGCCGTGAACATTTTTGGCTTGTTTTTGAAATTAAAGGAAAATTTAAAATAAATGCGTTTTTAAAAATATCTCTTTAGGAAAATATGAAATTTTTCTACGGTAAAGTACTTTTTCACCAAAATTGATTTATGAGAGGGAGAGGGGGAAATAAAAAACGCGAATATTTTTGTATTTTTTAGAAATTTATAAATAAAATTGTTATTCTCTATCGGATGGTGTTGAAAAATTTTAAATTATTGTACAGTAAAGTCTTTTGGTGGTCGCATGACATGCGACATGACTTACTAAGCCATAACTACCTACCTGCCGTCGCTGTTATAATATTCAAATTTATTACCAAATTATTAACGATTTTTGAATAACTAAATAATATAGTAATTTTGATTTAGTTGAAGAAACAATAGTAGGTACACATTATAATGACTAAAAGTGTTTTTTTAATCCTTATAATATGATATATTTACAGTTAATACTTGAGTTGTGGAAATTTTTCAAATATTTAATTGAGATTTATCACATATTGTGTGGCTTATCTTTATTAACGCACCTTATTAAGAATGTGAACCACTACCGATAACTATATAAACTGGATGACGTTAAAATTAATTTTTATTTTTATGTCATTTATACCTGCTCTGGCATTTCATTATTTAGTCAAATTTTTACCGATTTGTTATTCTATTGCACCCTTTTGATTGAATTGAATGTTAAAAACGATTTTTTCTTGTCAACTATTTATATTATATTAATTATAAGTTGAATGAATGTGAAGTACTTCAAGAGTCTTAAGGCCCGAAGTGTAAGTATCAGATACATTTTGAAAAGCTTACGTGTTTCAAATAATATTCTTTCATTTTTTAGAAAACTGATATTTTTATTAATAGGTAAAAATATAAGTTAACAAAATTATTTATTGGAAAAAAATGTTACAATCACTTTAAGTACAATCATTTAAGTAAGCCTTTTTACTAATGTATGTTTTGCTCAAATATAATCTATACTTTGTTGTAATTTCTTATTAAGGTAAAGCTAAGTTATATAAGGTTTTTTCATAAGTTTTTTAAGCAAAACTGATAGTGTGTATTTACATCTACGTTAAAGATCGTATAAATAAAATAAATGCGAGGAGAAACCAGCAAGAATATCTTCGTAAATTTTCACAATCAAGCTTTATAGTTTCTATGTTATAATCAAGTAGTAAAACAAGCTTTTATATGTGGTGATTGTGAAAATGTACGATGAAATTTTTGATTTTTCCTCCATTTATAGTTGACGCAATTAGATATAATGAGATTGAAATTTTTATGCAAAGTTATAAATACTGTGTCCATAAGTAACGAATTTAATAAGATTTTATCGAAGAGCTGTAAAGTATCTACGTCCTAAGAATTATTTTAATTTTATGAGAATCTAATTTTGGAAATATGAGACAGTTTTTATTCTAAAGGTTTGAATTTATCATTATATTTCAAATAATTATGCCTATATTAAACAAGTAGGTAATTCCAATATTACATAAATGCTAAAATAAATGTATTTTTAAGATTAGAAAATTCTTAAGACCGTACCTACTTTAAAGTGTTGTTGTTATTAGATCGAATTGTGTTGAGAAAATGTGCCTAAGATTATTTTTTCTTAAAAAGAACTCTATATAACCTATTAATTGTTTGACCTAGTCAAAAAAAGCTTTTATCTACTATAAAAATTTAATAAAGCCTTAGTTTAGACCAAGAATATTTTGGTTTATTAAATAAAATAAGGAGATATATTAACAAGAAGAATTATCTTAGAAGGTTAGTGACTGAAAGTGACAATATAATTAGATAAAAATGTGTCGCTGAAATACCTACTAGTTTTTTTACGAATTTCTTGTTTTATGGTCCTCTTGGTCTAGACAAAGCACTCGCGACTAGTTAATTCTATCGATTTTTTTTAAGTAAAGTACTTTCAGGACTCAGTATGTTTACCCATCAAGAGTTATATAACAAAGCCTGTAAAGCATTATGTAAACATAATTGGTACATATCGAATTCAAATAAATAGAATGCGAAACAATTTATCTCGATTATTTCACAACACATTACCGTAACTTTATTTTTTAATTACCTATAGAACTTTAATTACTGAAAATTATTGTGAAACTTTCAGTGATTAATATTACAAAAGGTAAGTGCATTCAATTTTTAGAGCTCTTTCACGAAATAACGTTGAACGAAATAGAGCTTATCAAAATAGCGCTGAACAAAGTAGTGCCTAATTAAATAGCGCGTATTACAAAAGCGCCTGAACGAATAGCACGTATCAAAAGAGCATCAGTCAAAATAGCGCCCGAACTAAACAGCACGAACGAAATAGCGCATTTCAAAATAGTGTTACGATCGTTTTCGATAATCTCAATTTACTTTAACCTCAAACTTTTACAATACAGCTATATCATTAACGAACAACGTCTATCATAAAACTAAAACTGACTTCAGGATCATCGAGTTTTATAGCTCCCTTGAACCCTCTAGAATCTTCGAGATATTTCTTAATACGAAATTACATTTCCGGACATTCCTAGACCGTTCTCTCTTCTTCTTTTATTGGTACTTTTACTTATGTCCTGAAAATTTTAGTACTGTCACTTTTATGCACGTTTATTATTTGCAGTATGATAAAATAGAAGATAAACGTTAAAATATCAAACTAACAGTTACAATACAACTGTATTGTGTAACTGAAATCTACAGACCCAGTTACCCGAAAACTTAAGTTCCAGTTGCCTCATCATATCGAATTTACCAAGGCAACTGGAACCTATATTGTCAAACTTGTTTTTATTAATATAACCTTAGAATGTTAAAATGAATTACACTATAGATGCTATTTCTTATACCAGGTCGATTTTCATGTTAAAAAATGTATTATTGTACTTACTGCGATTTTTTTAATACGTTAGTGTTATTCTTCTAACAAAAAAATACTTTAACGTGAATATTTTCGTT